ATGTTATGTCTAGGAGCATGTCTATGATAAAATTAAACAAGAATGGAGAAAGTGGACATCCCTGACGGACACCACTTGATGTAGAGAATTCCGGTGACAGTTCGCCATAAGCCCTCACTCGACCAGTGGTGTTCGAGTAGAGTGCTTGTATAAGGTTAATGTACTTCTTTGGTACACCTTTGAATGACAGACACTGCCACAGAACCTCACGATCCACAGAGTCAAACGCCGCCTTTAGGTCCAGGAAAACAACTATTGTAGGACGCCTAAATGTGTGTCTATGTTCCAGGACCTGTCTGAGTGTGAAGATGTGGTCTATACAGCCACGTCCATGTCTGAAACCAGACTAGAGATAATCTGCTTTTCACGAGCTTTCGTTAGGCGCCGAAGTATTATTGAGGCTAATATTTTAGATACTATATTAGTTAGAACTATCCATTCTCAATCCAGGAGACTGGATATAGTTAAATAGTATGGTATAGTTAAATGATGCGTAAACTAAATAGTCCTGTTTAATATCTGATTGTTTAACAACTTATGCGATATGGGTCTTCCAAACTTTAACTTAGTGGTTGAATATTGAATATTCTAAAGCTAGAGGCGGTCAAATCAAAACATGGCAGAAATGCATGAAGTCACTGACAAGCGAAATGAGTCATGTTGGTAGATGTAGATTACCTAGTTGAGGTCCGCGAGACGAAAGTCATGGATAGTTAGAGACCTTGAACGACATGGTTCAAAATCATTCCGAATGGTGCAGATGCATCCACTCTTTGTGTTCTCTGATATTCTAATCTTCTGAATTCCTCATTATCTCTGTCTTTCTCTTCCTAAAGTTATCTTACACTTCTCGAATCATATCTTCGAACCGTAATCTTCTCTATAACCGCTAATGCTTCTTCTATCCTCATATTATGGTATTTGAGCTGACAGTTGCTTCTGAATGTGTTAATGTAGTATAACAACCTAAACTTATGTATGTACGTACGAAGTTATACGTTGTAACTGACTGACTGACTGACTAACTAACTTATCATTATATTACTAATACAAATTCACTCTCATTTGGCAAGGATAAGTTTACACTAGTTTGCATGAGTACCAAGGACCCTGCCCATGCGTTAACGAACGCTACAACGTAGCTCAATCCTGTGGCGCAACCACCACACAGGTATCTGACACCCTGGTAGTCCGTTCACATCACTTATATACGCTAGTACATACATATGTAGTGATTAGTTCCGATCAATGGTAGCGTCAATCAATATGCACAGCATGAACAGGCCAATTCGACCCATTCCGCTTACCTGGTTGTCAAACTCATTATTATTAGCAATGGTGATGTGCATTACAGCACCCCGATGACAATGACTCTCAGGAATGTTGCAAGACAACCACCTCCATAGTATACCAATGAAATCGATCACCCTGCTAACCAGTATTGTATATGGACTGTTAGTAATACTTGCCAAAGCAATGGTAAGCCATTCACAAAGTTCACAACGAACCTCTGGTCTCATAGGAAACCTTCAGCACTATATAACAATACGGCTTGTGGTATATACATCATATGGCATAAGATAGCCAGAGATGCAACCAAGGTTGATGCAAATAGTCTCAAACACTCTTAATACCTTTTGTCTCATGTCGGGTAATGATTTTTTTCGAGTAGCGAAATTTTCATTTTTCGACTATATGAGACCTGCGTTAGGGGTAGTATCCCTTAGCCTCAACATACACAAGTGAAAAAGGTGGAATCCTTACACACACAACACATCAAACACTAGTCAAATCACACTTGACGGAGAAACTTTGGACGATGTACAAACCTTTAAATACCTGAACAGCATCATTGGATGCGGAACTCAAAACAACTATCAACCAACAAACATCAAAGTCAGAATTCCTAACATAAACTTCAAAACCGTTCTATTATATGAAATGGAAAGTTTGGAGAATACGAAAGCTATCATCCAAAAGATACAGGTGTTTATAAACAGTTTATTTATGCAAAATACTTCAAATCATTGGTCCAGACACCACTATCAGCAACAACGTACTATGGAAGAGAACAAACCAGATTCCTCTAGCTGAGGAAGAAGAAATTAGAAAAAAACGGTTGTAGGATGGTGTATAGGATACATATTTCGGAAATTTCCCAATTCCGTCACAAGATAAGCCCTCATTTGGAATCCCCTCATGGCTAAAGGAAAATAGGATGATCAAAGTACACGTTGATAATGAGCATCCGTCGTGAGGTTAAGAAATGCAATACTGAGATGTCTTATACTATGGAACAAAATAGCTATTTAATGCTTACTAATTTTCTTATTAATTTCCCATCTAATGTCAATCAATCTATCTTATGAAATTTTAAATCACTTGCATTTATAGTATTTCTAATTGTTCCTTAATTCAATAAATCATTTCTTTTAAAATTTAAACTACTTGTATTATGAAGATGATAGTTTTACTCTGAAATCATGAATAAATCATTGCTAGACCGCCAACATTAGAAACCTGGAGGCATTGAAAGACGATTTTTTCGTCCTGGCATGAGATTCATCAGTGGCAGCGCGCATCCACAGCTCCTGCCACTCGCAGGACTCGAACCTAGGACCTTGCGCGTTAACGCCTAAACTCTGGACTACTAAGCCGGCATCTGACGACGGCACTGCTACTGATGAGTCCAATACCAGGACAAAAGGGCCGCCTTTCGGTGCTTTCATGTCAGTCAGTCAGTCAGTCAGTTGCAACGTAGAACTTCGTACGTAAGTACATCAGTTCATGTCGCCATACCACATCAGCACAGAGATATAATTGTCAATTCAAATCCAATAGTAGTAGAGGTAGTAAAGGTATCAGAAGTAATCGGAGAGGTTAGAATTAGAAGATATTATTCACGAAGTATGATTCAATGAGATAAGTTTCGAAAGTCAAAACTAAAGGTGTTGAAGAATCCAGAAGATTAGGATTTGAGAGAACACAAAGAATAAATTCACCGGCGCCATTGCGAACGATTTTGAGCCATGTCATCCAAGGTCTCTAACCATTGATGACTTTCGTCTCGCGGACCCCAACCAGGTAGTCGACAATAACCGACATGGCTAAGTCCACTCGTCAATGACTTCATGGATTTCTGCCATGTTTTGGTTTGGCCGCCCCTAACTTTCTTCCAACCTACTCCTACACTACAAAACAAAGTTCGTCGAGGCAGTCGGTGGTTAAGCATACGTAACACATGTCCCAACCACCTCAACTGATGAAGTTTCAATACTTCATCTATTGATCTGCCATTCTTACCTAGCACCCGATTCCTAATAACAGCGTTGCTCACTCGGTTGTCCCACGATATACGAATAATGCTTCGAAGACACCTATGATCGAAAACCAATAACCGACGAGTATCTCCTACTCTCATTGGCCATGTTTCACAGCCATAAAGTAAGACGGAGCGAACCACTACGCAGTACACTCGTCCTATAGTCAGCAAACGGATATCTCGCCTACGCCATAAGTGACGTAGGTTGGCAAAAGCCAATCGAGCCTTCTGTATCCGAGCTGAGATTTCGTCAGTCATCAGGCCATCAGCACTGATGAGACTCCCAAGATAAGTGAAGCGGTCTACACGTTCGACCACTTCACTCCTTATCACTAGTTTAGGTGCCAATGCAACCCAGTCTTGAAGCAACATTTTGCATTTCGAGCGGGAAAACCGCATCCCGAACATGCTTGCATTGTTGCTTAGGGTATTCAGAAGACTCTGCATTTTGTCAGCGTCTTCACCAAGTAGGACTATGTCATCGGCATATTCTAAGTCAATAAGCGAGCCACCTGGTAATAGGTCTCCTCCAGAAAATTCAGACGAGGATAAGGTTATTTCTAGGAGCATGTCTATGATAAAATTAAACAAGAATGGAGAAAGTTCAAGAAAGAAAGTTCATGTATCTAGTGATGGTCTTACAATGATTTTTTCAAGATTGAATCACTGTACTGTAGTACACAACGTATGTTTTATCAATGCTCTTAAACAATAATAACAATCGTTTTTTTTTTGCTTCGTCTATTTTCCTTGTCTTTTCACTTAGCTTACAACCAATGCTGATCTTATGGCTAGTCGTCAATGGAAATATTATATTGAAACCAATGAATGGACACGTGCCACTTGTGCATTAATGGCATGTTTATTTACTAGAGATCAAATGGCTAATTCCACTGTATTAGGTCGTGGCGGTTCACAACGTGCTCGTCTTCCAAGTAATCTAGTTGCTTATGTTGTTAGTAAGTCCGCTGTGTGTGTGTGTTTCGTATTGATTTTGTTCTATAGCAGCTATATAATAATTATCGGTGTCATGTGTTATATACATATATATATATATATGCATATATATATACATATATATATATATATACAAATTCAATCCATCAATCTTATATATATATATATATATATATATATATATATATATATATATATATATATATATATATATATATATATATATATAGTCCATATGTGAGATTGAGAAGATTGTTGAGTTAGTTCCATTGAAATGATTAACCACCAATCACTATCGGGCCATCATTAAAAACCTGAACGAGCCAGACAACCGTTTCGTCTTAGCAATTGAACTCGTCGTCGGAGCGGTATACATGACCTCCGCTCGTGGGAACTGAACCGACCAGCACTCTCTACAACCTACTCTGTCTTAGGCGCCTTCCTTTTTTCATTTTTCTTCAACTTCTGTTCATTCTTTCCGTATCTGCTTCCTCCTAATTCTCGGCGTATTATGTATGTTCTTTGTGCTTATTCCCCATTGGCCTCGAGGATTCCATGTGATGGCTTGTTTTGTTGTGACACAGTTGGGTGCTTTCCATGTATCCTATATATTGATGATTTCTCTGGTTGTCAGAATTGGGTATCGGTCTCGTAACAACTCTTGAAGAAACTTGACTTTCATTATGAGACGTCATACATATAACTCTTCTAAGTAGAAACCTCTCAACTCTCATGGTTTGAATTATTTTTTCTGGCTAGGGTTTTTTTTGAGCGTGTTGGTTTTCTACAGGATGAAGTTGCTATTACCCCATGTCCAACTGCCTTTCGTTTATCTTTAACTCAGGACCGGTGGTAACGCCAAAATGACTCCAAATGGAGTTACCATATAATGATGATACTTGATGTAACAGCACGCGAGACCAAATTGTTATTAGCATCAAATATTATTGTTCTATTTGTCGAAATTGAAATTACTAACTAACTATTTCACTTATCTGGGGAGTCTCGTTAGCGCTGATAGCCTAGTGACTGAAGAAATCTCAGCACGGATACAGAAGGCTCGATTGGCTTTTGCCAACCTGCGTCACTTATGGCGTAGGCGTGATATCCGTTAGCTAACCAAAGGACGGGTGTACCGTGCAGCAGTTCGCTCTGTTCTACTATACGGATGCGAAACATGGCCGTTAAGAGTAGAAGATGTTCGTAGGTTACTAGTATTCGATCATCGATGTTGAGATGGTGGAGAAAACTTGTAGCTCAGGTGGATGATTGTGGTGGTGTTTTGTTCTCTGAGCTGGTTGTTTTGGTTGTGGAGCTTTCATTGTTCTTCTGAACAACATCATCAGCACGAACTTCAGATAGAAGTGAAGCATTAGAATTTCTCCACGTTTGGCCTGTAGCTTGTTCTGCTGACCTCGATCTTGATTGGTTGTTGTTGACATTTGACCTGTCGTTGTTTGCAACTATGTTTTGATTGCCTCCCTCTTTTGATCTGTTTCTTGATCTAGTGTCACCTATGATTTTCCTGATTGGTTGATAAATTGGGTCAATGTCGATGTGTTTGTTGATTGCTAATTGACCTGAGTGCCAAGCTTCTCCGCAGCATTGCTCGTATATCGTGGGACACCCGAGTGAGCAACGCTGTTATTAGGAATCGGGTGCTAGGTAAGAATGTCAGATCAGTAGATGAAGTAGTGAAACTTCATCATTTGAGGTGGTTGGGACGTGTGTTGCGTATGCCTAACCACCGACTGCCTCGACGAGCTATGTTTTGTGGTGTAGGAGTAGATTGGAAGAAAGTTAGGGGCGTTCAGACCAAAACATGGCACAAATCCATGAAGTCACTGACAAGTGGACTGAGTCATGTTGGTAGATGTAGACGAAAGTCACCAATGGTTAGAGACCTTGAACGACATGACTCAAAATCGTTTGCAATGGCGCAAGTGCATCCATTCGTTGAGCTCTCTCAAATCCTAATCTTCTGGAATCGTCAGCACCCCTACCTTTGTCTTTTTAACCTTATCTCACTGAATTATACTTCCGGAATAATATCTTCAAACCCTAGTCTTCTTCATTACCATTATTAATACCTCTACTATCTTTATCACTATGGGATTTAAAATTGACATTAGCGTCTCTGTGTGCTAATAATGTTGTGGTATGGCAACATGAACTTATGCGTACATACGTCGTACGAAGTTCTTACATTGCAAATTTTAATTAAGCTTTTTGAAATAAAATTGAAATACGATATAATGATTGTAGTTTTATGTTTTTTTTAAAAAATAAATAAATTCATGAATTATTTTAAAATCCAACCTTGTAATAAATCATTCAATTGCATGTATTGATTTCATTCTGTTATTGGACATCAATTCATCAATCGAGTATATGTGTATATATATGGATATAAATAGAGAGAAAGAAGTTTTATAGCCATTCATTAATTCAGTCTCAAGGTAATAATTGTCACAGATGGATTTCATTTTTGATGTGTATATTTCGATTATTGTCCTAGTATATGGATGCGACTGGTAGCTGCTACGTTGTCACGGTGGTGGTTGTTGTGCTGACCTATCGTGATAACTCAACCGAAATATATATATTGGCTGGAACAAATGTTCCTGTAGGTTCTACCATGCTAGGCAGGTCAATTAGAGAATGATGAGATTAAAAGCAGTCATTCAATGTCCGAGGGCGAAGTCGTACTGCTGACTGTGGTGGAGGGGTGTGATAGCAGTAAGGTGTTTCCCTCGGTCAGCCAGCATCTGCAGCGATGCTGCCTTCTCACAAGGAAGGAGGAGGGGTTAGAAATGGTCGACGCTAAAAATACCGCACTTCACCTTACCTCAAGGATTTCCGTCTCCGGTGGTAAGGCCTTTTAAAAAGAACGGAGCCAACACTTTAAAAACTTTCCATAAAAAGTTTTTGAAACTGTTGTCCCTCGGGCGCTACTATCATACTCCCCCAGGTCTCTGAAACTAACTCTAATCCGACTTATTTTCAGGTTCCTCAATGGAAAATACCCTTCCACTTTATGGACAGCCCTCATAAAACTAGTAACTGACTGCACTTTAGATCAAATTGATCACAATAGAATCAAATCCTAGATTGCCTTTATTATAATATATGGCCATTTAGGTTGACAAGCAATATTATTATCACAGAGAGATGAAAGTATATATCTCTATCTCTCTCTGCAACTTACATGGCCCTAAAATGAGACACAGCACGCTTCCTAATTAAATCCAACTACTACTACTACTACTGTAGTGAATGAGAACACAGGTGAGGGCAACCGGATTGTATTTAACGAAAATTACAGAGTCACTCAGTAAAATCGGATAACCATATCGTAAATCGTTCATTTGCAAAAGATCAGTTCATCCTATGGAACTGGACTGTTCCTGTTGCCAAACATCAATCCATTGTCACTATTCATGCGTTTCATACAAATTCCATTGTGTTCTAACTCTTCCTTTCTTGTTAATCTTCCCCACATATTATGCTACCAGACTTTACGTTGACACTCACGTCATATACTACTTATAAGTAGTTCGCACCACACTACTACTAGCCACTATGTACTTATTTATCTGTGAATGTTTGTTACATTCGTTTCAATTCAGATTGTAGGCTATAATAAAAAAAACGCAAAACATTTTGTGGTAATTTTATTCTCGAATAACAACTCTTAAAATCTAATTCACAAACAATATATGCATTTTATTCATTCGTTGTATCGTTGCTATTACCTTGAAACATAATAATAATTTATTAATTACATTGTAAACATATCATTACAATGTTACAGAGTGATAGATACAGTTTTTTTTTTATTAAAACGAATTTGATTTTGGTCATGGCCAATTTGAAAGAGGGAGGAAAAAAAACCAAAAATTTATTGTGTGTGTCATTCAATTAGTTCGCTGTTTGTCTTTTTTTTTTATTCTGAATGTAAATTATCATAATTACACTGGTTATGGCGAACTGTCACCGGAATGCCTCACTTCAAGTGGTGTCCGTCAAGGATGTCCACTTTCTCCATTTTTTTGTATAATTTTATCATAGACATGCTACTAGAAATAACCCTGTCCTCGTCTGCATTTTCTGGAGAAGACCTTTTACCAGGTGGCTCGCTTATTGACTTAGAATATGCCGATGACATAGTCCTACTTGGTGAAGACGCTGACAAAATGCAGAGTCTTCTGAATACCCTAAGCAACAATGAAAGCATGTTCGGGATGCGGTTCTCCCCCTCGAAATGCAAAATGTTGCTTGAAGATTGGGTTGCATCGGTACCTGAACTAGTGATAGGGAGTGAGGTAGTCGAACGTGTAGACCGCTTCACTTATCTTGGGAGTCTCATCAGTGCCGATGGCCTGGTGACTGACGAAATCTCAGCTCGGATACAGAAGGCTCGATCGGCTTTTGCCAACCTGCGTCACTTATGGCGTAGGAGTGATATCCGTTTGCTGACTAAAGGACGAGTGTACTGTGCAGCTAGTTCGCTCAGTTCTCCTATATGGCTGTGAAACATGGCCAGTGAGAGTAGAAGATATTCGTAGGTTACTGGTTTTCGATCATAGTTGTCTTCGAAGCATTGCTCGTATATCGTGGGACAGCCGAGTGAGCAACGCTGTTATTAGGAAACGGGTACTAGGCAAGGATGGCAGATCAATCGATGAAGTGGTGAAACTTCATCAGTTGAGATGGTTGGGACATGTGTTGCGTATGCCTAACCACCGACTGCCTCGTCGAGCCGTGTTTGTGTGTAGGAATAGGTTGGAAGAATGTTAGGGGCGGCCAAACCAAAACATGGCTGAAATCCATGAAGTCACTGACAAGTGGACTGAGCCATGTCGGTAATTGTCGACTACATGGTTGGGCTCCGCGAGATGATAATAATCGATGGTTAGCGACCTTGAATGACATGGCTCAAAATCGTTCGCAATGGCGCCGGTGCATTTATTCTTTGTGTTCTCTCAAATCCTAATCTTCT